CCCATTCCCCCTCCCCCGCCCCTCATCCAGCATCACCAAGGACCCAGCGAACCCAGCACCTGGGTTTTCCAGGAGGGAGAAGAGGGAGGGGGCACCGTTAGGGAGCTGACATCAGCCCCCGCCACCCCCAGTAGATTCGGGGTCCAGGAAAGACATGGGAATCCCTTGGCTTTCCCTGCAAACCCGTGGGGTATCCCACAGCCAAGCGTGTTTCCTCCTAGGTGGGTTTGGAAGGAGGGTTCGGGGGTCTCCTAACCTTCCTGCATGCTGCAGAGATGCCTCCTAACCTGCACCCCGGTGCCCCCACCTGCAGGTGACCCATAGCTGCGGGTGCTGGGTGCGAAGCACCCTACTCTGCCCTGGCAGCGCTTCCCAGGCACTGTACTATTAACCACAGCAGTGTAAAACCCTTTCTGAGTGCCACAGGGAGCATTTGCTGTTGGATGAGGGGGAGATGACCCCCACCCAGAGCACTGGACAATTTGGGAGAGGGGTGACATCCTCGGTGCTACCCAGTGGAGGTCAGCTCGCAGCCCTGCAGAGGTGCGACCATGCCAGGGAGCAGGAGATTTTGTCATATAGGCAGAGCCTGGGCTAAACACCCCGCTGTTCCCGGGACACTTGCACCCTTGGGCATCCCACCAAGACCACACCAGGGGTTTGACGAGGCTCCTGCCCTGGCTGGCCAGAGGCCAACCCCAAGTCAGCCCCGGCAGGGAAGTACCACGGAAAGGCGAGAGGCGTGCAATGCTTCTCCAAAACTCTGGGAGGAAAACAAGAAGCAGCTGAGAAAGAGTGGCTGGGTGGAATCCCAAATGCAGGAGTGAAACCTGCTGCTGGGGGAAGGAGGCATCAAGGCTTGGGCTGACACCGAGACAGAGATGATAAGATACTGAGACAAACGGCCTTTTTCAGTTAAAAGGAGCCTTTGGCTCAGCCTGAGGTGAATACAGAAACATTAGCAGGAGAAGAAAAATCCGTAGGAGAGCCGTGCCGGAGGAGGCAGGCTGGAAAGACCAAGCGGAAAACCAAGAGGAGGAAGTCTGTGTAATGAACCAGTGCATCCTCTCAAGCGGCTCCCTTCTCTCAGCTCAATCTGCTGCAGGGTGTTGCTGCGAGCCGCCATGCGCTTGTCAGGCTGCACCCCAGAGGTGGCTGCATTATGGTTTTTACATGGTATATTTGGCAGCACATGAAGCACTTCTGGTCCAGCTGGTGCATCGAATTGTTCCACTCCGCTGGGATGCTGCAGAAGGGATGGTCTATAAGCAACTCTATAAAAACAAACAAAAGTCGATCGAGCCTGCATGGTTTAACGCTGGATGCCAAAGTTGAGAACTAACCTTGCGCACAGCCTTAATTTTTTTTTTCCCTGTGCGCAGGGAGTATGAGCCAGTTTTAATAACAGCGTGCTGCACGTGTGTGTCTGAGGCCTCAGGAAAAAAACATCTGGCGTTGCACAGTTTCAGAAAAAGCCCTTGGTCCTGGCCTTCAAGCCTGTGCTGGGATGGGGAACGGGCACGACAGGGCAGAGTTGAGAGTGCTCGTTCTTTCTCGCTAGCCTGGCAGTGAACAGGAAGGAGGTGGGAGCCGTTGCACTTGTGTGTGTGTGTGTGTGTCTCTGTCTGCCCGTCCCTGCTGTCCGACCCCACTTTTGAAGCTCCAGGTCACTTTCTGCCAGATTTTATAGCGAGGCAGCATCCTCAGAGACTGAATTCCATTTTGTTGTTCTATTGTCTAATTGTTTTATGAAAAAAGGCATCCGGGTAGATGAGAGAGAGCCAAACTTGGGTCCCCACCGAGGAAATGGATTCATCATCAACTCTATTATAGGACATCAAAGAATCCACACGGAGAGAGCCATTATGAGTGCCGCAAACCATGGGAAAAACTCTCATGTGCCTTATTAGCCCTGAGCTAATCCAACCATGAGACAGAGAGTGGCAGGAAACTGGGATTCGTTAAGTTGCGCTTCTCAGGGAGCAGCTCGGCTTTGACTCTTTGATGCTCAGCCATGCTGCTGCCGGTCCCCACCGCACCGCGCGCTCTGGCAGGGCACAGGAGGGTGCCTGCGTGGAGCCTGGCATGGCATCCTGGCTTTGGAAAAGTGCTCCTGTGGAGAAGAAACAGGAGACTCCTTCCTACCAGGGCATCCTGCTGACACGGGCATGTCCCAGGGGTTAACAGAGAAGATGCCAAGCCTCATCTCCCAGAGCTGTGAAGCTCTGCTGTGCTGAGCCCCGCGCTCTCTCTCCAGCAGAATGGAACTGCTGCTGAAGGGCTCCACAGACCTGCTCGGTGGTAACCTTTGGGTCAGGGAGCACCAGCGCTTGGTGCTTTGTAGAGGAAAGCTCTGCTTTCCCTCTTGGCCTTGGCTGGAGAGTAAAGGGGATCGGATCAGAGCTGCCGGTGATGATCAAATCTGGATGCTGGGCAAACCTGAGACCCTACCAAGGGACAGCCACAGGGGTGCCTGACCTGGGAGGCCGTGTCCAGCAGCATCCCTGTGTGAGCACCTCCTGCAACAGCTTGGTATGTGACTAGAGAGCTTTTTTCTCCACCTGGACTACCAGGAGTTGATTTTTTTCGGTTACACCTCCCACCCCTGCACAGCTATGCTCCAAGCCAGCCCAGGAATGAACAAGTAGGAATTTTTCCCTACTAAGGATCCAGCAGAGGTTTGGCCAAAAAGCAGGGACATTGTGCAGGACCCAGGAGGCACCCAGAAACGGGACCTCAGCTGGCGGAGATGAGAGTAAGAGCAGAGCTACTATGGGCAGCAATTCCCCTGCTCCATCTCCCGGGGGGGGCTGGCTGAACCAGCGAGAGGCTAATTTCATGAGCGGATAACACCAAACAGTGACCTGTTCTGCTTCACATGCTTTTTAATTAACACCTGCATGGCCTCATCGACTGAATAATTGCTTCCCTTCATGGGTCAACAAGTCAGCAGCCTCTGACCTCCCATTCCCACCTGGGTACGATGCTCGGGGACAGGGCACAGCGGGTGTGCGCTCTTGCACCACCAAACCCTCCCACGGGCCAGCATAGCAATAGGAAAAGTAATAGGACAATCCAGGGGCTCTTCAGGTCTGCTTGCTCTTGGCCAGGACCGGCCTTGTCCACCCTAATCCTGAGCTTTAAATAGGTGCTGGTGCTGGAAAGGCACCCGCCACGCTGGGCAGGGTGGGGTGCACCGGGCGCAGTGGTAAGAGGACAGCTGAGTTGCCCTCTGTGTTGCCGTGGGATTGGAGCAGATTGCA